TTTTTGGTGGAACCGGGGATTGAACTCAGGCCCTTGCGCTTGCCAGGGAAGCACTTATTCCACTGAGCCATCTCCTCGGCCCCGAGTTTAATCATTTTTAGAGCTCAGTAGTACTTCACTGTATAAAAATACATTTTTTTATCCATTCCTCAGTTGATGGACATTTGGGTTGTTTCCAAGATCTAGTTATTATAAATTGAACTGCTGTAAGCATATATCACTGTGGTATAATGTTTTCAGTTCTTCTGGGAAAATACCCAGTAAGTGAACAGCTGCGTAGAATAAGAGGTCTAATCAAAATAAATAAATATATTAAATAAATAAAATAAATAAATAAATTTTTTTTAAAAAGACCTCTAATCCTAGTTTTTTTAGGAATCTTCATAGTGATTTCCACAGTGGTTGGTTGTACTAGTCTATACTTCCATCAACATTAAAAAAGTGTCCCTTTCTCCCCACAGCCCCACCAGCATTTGCTACTGGTTGATTTTTGATGCTTGCCTTTCTTTCTGGGGTGAGATGAAATCTCAGTGTTGTTTTAATTTCCATTTCTTGAATGATCAATGATATTGAACATTTTTTCATTTAATTATTTGCAGGAGCCAGCCCCTTGGCTCAGTTCCTTAAGTGGCTGCTTCAACAAAGCAGTCAGACTCAGGTTGCTGTGGTTCGATCCCCACCACTCAAGCCAGCCAAACTTGCCATGAAGGCATTTGGAGCCAAAAAAAATCCTTGGAGCCGGAGAGATAGTTCAGTAGAATATAGCACTTGCCTGGCAAGCACAAGGTCCTGAGTTCAATCCCCAGTTCTGCCAAAAAATTAAATAAATAAATAAAGATAATTATTTGCTGTTTGTACTTCTTCATCTGAGAAGTGTGTATTCATCCCAGATACCCATTTTTGATTGGATTTTGGAGTTGGGCAGGAGGCAAAGTTTTTCCAGTTCTTTATATGTTCTAGATAGAAGGCCTTTGCCTGAGGAACAGTTGGCTAAAATTTTTTCCCAATCTGTAGGTTTTCTCTTTACTCTGATCATGATTTCCTTTACTGTGCAAAACCTTTTTTTTTTTTTTTTTTTTTTTTTTTTTTTTTTCGGAACTGGGGATTGAACTCAGATCCTTGAGTTTGTCAGTCAAGTGCTTATCCTACTGAGCCATCTCCCCCGCCCCTAAAGAACTGAGCTAAGGGGCAGGCCCCCACAAAACCTTTTATAACAATGAGATTCCAGTTGTCGATTCTTTGAAGTGTTTCCCTGCATTTTTTTCATGATCTCTCTACTTACTTCTATGTCTTCAAGATTTCTATCCACTTTCTTTTCTAGTAGATTTAATGTTTGTTTCTTTTTTAGTATTTAGATCTTTGATCCATTTTGACTTTAGTGCATGGTGATAGGCATGGGTCTAGTTTTAGTCTTTGGAAGGTGAGTTTTTCCAGCACCATTGCTTCTGCATTTTCTAATCTGTTCTATTGATCCTTGGGTCTATTTCTGTGTACCATGCTGGTTTTTTTTTTATATAGTAGATATATTTTATTTTAACTTATTTAAGTTTATCGGTACAATTTAGGTATGTACAGTGATCATGTTCATCACTTTTTTCTTTTTTTTAAACTTTATTTATCTATTTGTGTGTGTGTGTGTGTGGCCAGCTCAGCCCACCAGGGGGCGGGGCTGGCTGGCATGTTGTGCTGGGGGATCGAACCACGGTCCCTGTGCTTTGCCAAGCTTGCTCCAAGTAGTTGCCCTAGACCACTGAGCCATCCCACCAGCTCTACCATGCTGTTTTTATCACATTATTTTTATAATTTACTTTCTTTTTTTTTTCTTTTTTCTTTCTTTTTTTTTTTGCCAAACTGGGAATTGAACTCAGGCCCTTGCACTTGCCAGGCAAACACTGATTCTACTGAGCCATCTCCCCGGCCCCTGTAGTATACTTTCAAGTCAAAGATTGTGATGCCCCCTGCCTTGCCTTTGTTGCTCAGAACTACCTTTGCTATTCTAGGTCTCTTCTGGTTCCAAAGGAGTTTTAGGGTTGTTTTCTCTAATTCTGTAAGATACATTGGTGGAATTTTGATCAGCATTGCACTAATAATTGCATTAACAATTTTTCAAGTATGGCTATTTTCACTATATTAGTTCTTCCCACCCAAAAGCAAGGGATAGGGGCTGGTGAGATGGCTCAGTGGTCTAAAGCGCCTACTTAGAACAAGCTTAGCAAAAACAAAGGGACCGCGGTTCAATCCCCCAGCACCACACGCCAGCCAGGCTCGCCTCCTGGTGGGCTGAGCTGGCCACACAAATAAATTAATAAATAAAAAATTAAAAAAATAAAAACAAAAGCAAGGGATATCATTTCATTTTCTGATATCCTCTTCAATCTCCATTTTCAGTGTACTTTAGTTTTCAGTGTAGAGGTCTTTTTCATCCTTCAGTAGATTCCTAGATATTTCATTTTTTAAATGCCATTGTGAAGTGTTGTTTCCCTAATTTCTCTCTCAGTGAATTTGTTATTCTTGTATAGAAAAGCTATTAATTTCTGGGTGTTGACTTTGTATCCATCTATTCTAATGAATTTGGTTCTTATATATAGAAGTATTTTCATGGAGTTTTGGGAGTCTTCTATGCACAGTATCATATCATTTGCAAATAATAATTTAACTTCTTTTCCTATCCTTATTGCTTTTATTTCTTTCTCTTGTCTAATTGCTTTGGCTTTGTGTGTGTGTGTATGTGTGTGTGTGTGTGTGTGTGTGTGTGTGTGTGTGTTTAAGGAAGGGTCTACAGGGTGTTCAGGGTCTCACTACTAGATTGGACTCATAGTGATCTGCCTGTTTACAGCCTCCCAAGAGCTGGGATTACAGACATGTGCCACCATGTCCAGTCTCAATTGCTGACTCAACTGATGTCTCAGCATGCCCTGGGAGTGGGGCCAGCAAGCAGGTCTGGGGTTCAAATCCCCCAGCCCCTGTGCCTGCTTGCAGGTGCTTTAATCCACTGAGCTATTTGTCTGGCCCTGAGTCTCAGTCTTGAGGAAGGGCTCCCTCTGGTCCCCTGGGAACAGTACCTCCACCTGCTCTCTTCTGTGTTCGGCACTACCTTGGCTGTTGGTGCTAAGGATTCATTACTTTTTCACTAACTCAAGGAATTCACAGTCACTTTTTAAGAACATCTTTGTGGAAACTAAGATTTTGTAACTGAGGGGGAAGCGAACCACATGCCACCCCCAAGTCCTGTAAATCTTGGGGACAAGATGTGATTCCCAGTGCCCAGGTACAAATATTATGGGATGAGCCACAGCCCTGCCACAAGACATCTCAGCTTGTGGCTTCACGTGATGATAAGCTTCACCACAGGGGTAATGCTGAGATGAGAACACACTGGAAAAGGGGACCCTAATCCCATGGGCTGCTGGCCTTGTATTAAGAAAAAAAGAAAGAAATTAAGGCGCAGGCATACACTGAGGGATGCCCGGATGAGGACACAGGGAGGAGACAGTGTCTGGACGCCAAGGAGAGATGCTGTGGTCTTGGTCTTCAGGCTGCTTGAACTCTAGCTGGCCAGTTTGTCTAAGCCATGAGGTTTGTTGTGATGGAGCTTGTGATGGAGCCCGAGCTAAGGAACAATGGGAAGCAAGGTGTGGGGTGGAGCTCTGCAAAAATTGAACATGCTTCTTTTCTTTTCTTTTTTTCCAGAACCAGGGATCAAACTCAGGCCCTTGTGTTTGCCAGACAAGCGCTTATTCCACTGAGCCATCTCCCCGGCCCCTATGTTTCTAATAATACAGAGGCTAAAAACAAAGACACACACTGTGAACTCTTGGGAGCTATGGAGTGTTTATTTAATAGACTCAGACTAAGCATTTAACACAGGGTGAATAGGAGCAGCCAGGCAAAGGAAACTGATTGTATTCAAGGAAGAATTGAGGTTTCTCAGTGTCCTCTAGATATACTCCAAAAGCAACTTGAGCTCAGACAGCTCACAATGACATTAAGATGAAGGGAAGAGGAACCAGGTGCAGGAGGAAAGAACGGGGGGGGGGGGGGCAGCCAGGCTAGGGATTCTGCCAGCATATGGCATGGGATCTCTGGCCCTGAGAAGGTTGGAGTGGTGAAATCAGGAAAGAGGAGGATTCAGGAATGGTGGGTATGACGAATGGTGGGTATGACACAGGACATGGGAAGTCCCATAACCTCATTGCTGGACAGAGGCTGTTGTAATTCAGGTAGGACAGACCCTGAGTGGTTCTTTTTTTTTTTTTTTTTTTTTTTTTTTTGCGGTACCAGGGATTGAACTCAGGACCTTGCACTTGCCAGGCAAGTGCCTATTCTACTGAGCTATCTCCCTGGTCTCCTGGAGTGGTTCTTCAGGAGTTCAGGACACAGCTCCAATCATTTCTGGAGAGCTAGATTGGCAGGACCTGTTATCTGTACCCAAAGCCTCAGATTTTACACTGGCAGCAGATGGGGACACAGCAGCTGGACTGGCAGCAACAGGGCTTGCAACAGCTAGACTGGCAGCAACAGGGCTTGCAGCAGCTGGACTCACAGCAGCAGGGCTTGCAGCAGCTGGACTGGCAGCAGCAGGGCTTGCAGCAGCTGGACTCACAGCAGCAGGGCTTGCAGCAGCTGGACTGGCAGCAGCAGGGCTTGCAGCAGCTGGACTGGGAACAGCAGGGCTTGCAGCAGCTGGACTGGGAACAGCAGGGCTTGCAGCAGCTGGACTGGCAGCAGCAGGGCTTGCAGCAGCTGGACTCGCAGCAGCAGGGCTTGCAGCAGCTGGACTGGCAGCAGCAGGGCTTGCAGCAGCTGGACTGGCAGCAGCAGGGCTTGCAGCAGCTGGACTCGCAGCAGCAGGGTTTGCAGCAGCTGGATTCACAGCAGCAGGGCTTGCAGCAGCTGGACTGGCAACAGCTGGATTTGCAACCCCCACAGGACCCACAGCCCCCCTTGGTGCACCCACAGGACCCACAGCCCCCCTTGGTGCACCCACAGGACCCACAGCCCCCCTTGGAGCACCCACAGGACCCACAGCCCCCCTTGGAGCACCCACAGGACCCACAGCCCCCCTTGGAGCACCCACAGGAGCCACAGCCCCCCTTGGAGCACCCACAGGACCCACAGCCTCCCTTGGAGCACCCACAGGACCCACAGCCCCCTTTGCCACAGCTGGAGCAGGAACAAGCTGGCACACAGCAGCACACGGGCTTGCAGCAGCACACGGGCTTGCAGCAGCAGCTGGAGCCACAGCCCCCACAGCTGGAGTCACAGCCCCCGGAACATCCACAGCAGGTCATGGTTCTGGAGATGGAGATGGAGAGAGAGGTCAGAGAAGCAAGAGCAAAGGATGGTGTGGGAATATGCAGACTACTCCTCCAGAAGCCTTTATATCTCACCAGGTGTTTGCACTGAACACGTAATCACTTCCTTTCTTGTTTACCTTGTTTCGTGCAGACAACTGTTATTTTAGTATCTTCTGGGTCCCATGAGCTACTATTAGCTGAAGCCAAGCTTCACTCTGGTTGACTTCCTCTTCTCTGTAAGTGGCCCTTGTGTTAGAACAGGGTCAGTCCCTCTCCCCATGCAACCCAGCAGCCCGTGACCCAGTGGCAATGACCCTCCTGGCTGGGGGACCTTCTCCCAGCATTTACAGTTTTCCTCATTGATCCATGTCCCCCCTTCCCTGGGCACTGGTGTTTATAGCCTTTGTGATCATTTTTGTAAGTAGAGGTAGAGCTGGAGCTCTCGACCACTTCTATAGTGATCCCAGCCTGAATTACCAGTCTAGATGCTGTGTTAAGTGGTGAAACGAAGAGCTGAAGTGTGTTGTCCTGGCCTCCCGCCTGCCCCAGCCACAGGTGAGCCTGCTTTGTCCTGTGTGTCCTGGGCTCCACAGCCTTCCTGAGCTTTTCTCAGTGAGTCCTTATAGAAATTCCACAAGCCGGGGGCTGGGCAGATGGCTCAGTAGAATAAGCGCTTGCCTGGCAAGTGCAAGGGCCTGAGTTCAATCCTTTGCTCTTTGCTGTTTTCCACCACCATGAAGGGCTGCCCCTTTTCGTGGGCCACTCTGCCTTGGAGCCAGCCGAGTTAGCCAGCCAGTAACTGTGTGTAACACACACACACACACACAAATAAATGAAATTAAAAAAAAAAAAAAAAGAAGCATTCCAGACCAGTAATCTTTCTTACTCTACTATATGCATGTAAGGGTATAAGATTTGCTTTAAGTACTAAGACCCATATTTCAAGGAGGGGATAGAAAGTGGTGAGTTTCTCATTTATGATTTCTCTGTTTATAAACCAAAACATTTCTCCCCTTGTTTTTAATTATTTGGTTGTTGCAGGGTCTCACTACGCAGCTCAGACTCGTGGTGATCCTCCTGCTTTCGGCATTCTCAGTGGTGGGATAACAGTTGTGTGCCACTACACCAGGACTCTGGCTACTTCAGCCTGCCTTGGGGAGTGGGGCTGGTGTGGCGTGTGGTTCCTGGAGTTGAGCCTCGGTCCCTGCACCTGCCTAAGCTTGCCTAAGCAGGCGCTTTAGTCCACTGAGCTATCTTGTCGGTCCCTCTCCCATTTTTGATTACCATGAGATAATTTATCAAACATTGATGACTGCCTGGGTTCTTTCCCTTTGTTAACTCATGTTCAAAATAATAAGTCAATTTTCAGCATCTTCTAAAGGCAAGTAGTGAGTTTTGCATTTTGCTTATTGTCTATGTTATGATCTGGGTAACAGGTTGAGATATATTTGTTATGTATGCCAGTGCAACATGTGTATGGTTTGAGACATATATGCTATGTGCCAATGCATTTAAATAATTGATGGAGGGCCAGCCAGGTAATTCAGCTGACTAAAGTGCCTGCTTCAGGGCTGGGGAGATGGCTCAGTGGAATAAGTGCTTCCCAGGCAAGCACAAGGGCCTGAGTTCAATCCCCGGTTCCTCAATAAAATAAAATAAAATAAATAAAGTGCCTGCTTAGGCAGGCGCAGGGACCAGGGTTTGATCTCCAGTGTGCCTTGCCAGCCCCGCCTCCGGGGCTCAATGAGATGGCGATTGAGACGGGGCATGGTGACGTGTGCCTGTAATCCCAGTGCTTGGTAGGCTAAAAACAGGAGGATTGCTAGGGTCTGATCTGTGTAGTGAGACCCTGTAAACCCAGTACTAAATACATAATAAATAAATAATTAAATATTTAAATAAAATTGATGGGCAAGAGGATCCAAGTGAGCAACACTGGTGTCTGTATTTGACACCTTTGTTTTTCTGATTTGATCTTACTTGCGTGGTCATCTTACTAGATCTCTAGGGTAAGAACTTTCTCTTGGCTTATCTTGTCCACTTCCAGAACTTCTCTCCAAAGTAGGTGGGTTCTACTTAGGTACCAGGAGGCATATTTGAAGGAACAGTGTAAGGTGTATTTATTGATATTAGGTAGGTGACCATTACTAGGTCTTTTGATGGAGTAGCAAGCCATTGTTAAAAAAAGAAGATATTCATATGTCTAAATCAAAAATTAAATTTTTCTTTGAATTAATCCAAGAAGTCCCACAATGAAAACGTTCATAAACTAATAATTAATTTGATTTTTTGCACAAAACACTCACGAATTCTAAGACTAATATGACCAATATTGCCATCACCATTATAGTTCCTAAAAATAACTGGAGATTTTTAACTGTATCTTTTTTTTTTTTTTTTGTCAGTAAACATTCCTTTTTATTAATAAGTCAGTCTAGCAGGGTTTCTATCCTTACAGTTAAGAGCCCCAACAGAAAACAAGGCTCGCACTGCCTGTAGGGAGAGATGAGGACAGGACAAAAGCCATCAGGTACCTGGAGGGAGTGGAGACAGGGCAGCGGCCTGGGCAGGCTGCAACCTCTGGGCCCAGTGGGCACACACAGCATGGCAGGCTTTTACTTGGCTTAGGTGAGCTCTATGCCTGATCTGGCAGGCCCCAGGTGGTGGGCACCACCGGGCCTTGGATTCTTGGAGGCCTTTCTTAGAGGCTTTTCTGGGGGGTCTGCTTGTCTGGGTGCAGGACTGGTGCTTCTGGGGCTCAGGCTTCAGCTCAGAAGGGACTCTCACTCTCCTGCCTGTCTTCCCTTGCCATGCTCACCCATATCTGGTAGCCCAGAGCTCTGACACCTGAAGCTGTCTGGAGCTGCAGCTTTAGCCTGCAGGGCTGGCAAACCACCTTCGTTCCTCAGAGGCCGAGGTGTGCTGGCACTTGCTGAGTGGAAAGGTTATTCCCTGCAGGGGAGCTGGAAGTCGGCCTACGTGGATGGCCAGCTCCAGAAAAGGCACTGAGAATCCAGAGGAAAGAGTGACCCCACCTCTGTGTGCACCACCATGGGGCAGTGTCCTGGAGACACAGGGCTGCTCAGGCCCCGGCAGTGGCACCAGCGTAGGTGGGTGCGGCAGCTCTGTGGACCAGGGTCAGCTGTGGAAGGCTGACCAGGAGACACTGGAGGCATAGAACTGCACGTGGCTGGGCCAGTCGCCATCCCGGCTGCCCTCCTTGTCCTCATCGGATCATCGTCTCCGCTGGATGCTCCATAGAAAGCTGCCCCCAGGTGGGCCAGCTGCTCTGGGGAAACCCTTCCGGGCTCTTCTGCCTCCTCCTTCAACTTCTGTGTGGCCAGCTCCCAGTAACAGAGGCTGCAGACATGCAGAGGCTTGGGAGAGAGGCGTGGCAGCAGGAAGCGCTCTCGGGAGCACTCTGCGCACACCACAAAGCCACACTTTCGGCAGTGGTGGCGGCGTGTGAGGGCTGAGAAGCGTGTCTGCGTGCAGCGCATGCAGATGTCCGTGGCCTTGTCGGGGATCCAGGGGGCCGCGTGCTCCGTGGTGGGCTCGTGGCCAGTGGCCAGCAGCTGCCGCCTCACACACTCCTCAATGTGGCTGAGCCACTCCTGGCGCTCTGTGGTGGAGGCAGCCGACACCACGAAAGACTTCTTGGCAGTCTTGATCATCCAGCGGTTCTTGGCCTCCAGGGTATCAGGCAGTGACTCCAATGTCACCTCCTCCAGAGGAATAATATGCTGGCTGCGGTACTTGCGCTTGCTGAGCACAATGCTGCCGTACACCAGGATGTCATTGAAGAGGAAGAAGATGCGTGGTTTGGCCTTTTTGCGGCACTCTTTGGTTAGCACACCTTCTCCCAGGAGCACCCGGCCTGGCAAGGCCAGCGGCTGCCCCGAGGCCCCAAAGCAATTCTCCACAGCGGCGATCCGCTGGCTGTTAATCTCCGTGTTCACCAAGTGGTCCACCATCTTCTCTGGGAT